CATTTGCAGGGAGGGAGCTTTTTGTAATTAGCTAAGCACAGCTGCTGGATGTTGGATAAGGCAGAGGTGGACAAGGCAAACTGAGGGTTTTCTCTCCGATTTCCTCTCTGAAATGCTGAATTTTCCAAGCCTATCTGAAATGCTGCTTCCCATCTGTCAGTTGCGTGGTGCATTTTGCATCTAAGTCTCATTTTTGGAATGATGTGCTGATTCCTGCTGGTTTTCAGCTAATCAGCAACATTTGGATACCCAGGGACTTGGTTTTAGTTTACATTACTCCATTAATAAGCTATAGATGTGCAGAAACAGAATTCCATGTTTGAGGAAGTAAAATTTCAGACCATATTTTTACATTTTGCAAATATTGTTTTTACCACCCTCTGCTGGTCAGCAGGAGAACTACATCTCATGACACGGTCTGAGCCATACTGCAGTGCGATGACAAAGATACCAGTCACTAAGATCAAGTACAAGAAGGAAGTGCTTCCCTATCCAGAAGCTCCACCACTTATTGCCAGGAAACCACATTAGATCCCATCTCAGCCTCCCGGTGGTTTCATACAATGCTCAGATGGGTTGAATGGCACCTCCTTACTTAGCTATCAGTTCCAGAGAGCCACAGAGTTTGGAAACAAGGGTAGATAAAATCTTCAGATGGGTTGCCCGCCTTGGGCGATTATTGACCTTCATGCTCCGAGCTGATGGACATGTAGAGCTGTGGAAGTCTTCAGGTTTTTGTCCTTTTCGGGTACGGCAATGGAGCGTTTGGAATTCATGTGGTTTGCTTACAATTGCTGGCCCGGGTGCTCATGTGTGTATGTGTGTATTTTTGGAAGGCTGACATAATGTAGAGTATCTGCCAGAGAGTGCCTACAGACTGTGATTTCCTCACTGACTCTGGTCCTATTGAGCTGTCAGACGGAAGAGAATCAAGCTTCTCATCTCACCTGCACATTGCTTGAGGTTTCTTTGTATTAAGTAGCTATATACAAATATATCAATTCTTCAGATTTTTTCCCCTCAGTGATTTCTTATTGATTTGACAGTATAAATATTTTACTGTCTGAACTGCCTTCATTGAACTGCGGTGACTTGCCCCTGTTGATCTGAGCATTAGATCTCAATCATGGTAGATCTTCTTACAAACTCCCCCATGATGTGTTTCGCAACATACACCTGTAGACCATGCAACTGCATCCGACATCCTTCCACGCCAAGGATCACTCAGAGAGCAGGTCCGTTTTATAGACCTGCCAGAAACAGAATCTCACTGTGATGTTTTTATTTATTTATCAATACAGACATTTCTGGGGGTTTCTGAACTCTATAGGAGATGCTGGGCTCTGAGTCAGCTTTTGCCTTCTCGGGGGGCTGATCCTCAGCGATTTCGATGGCCCGTGTTGCTGATGGAAAGGCACGATGGAGAGACGGTAACTTATTGAAACCCTGTGTGGCGTTGAGCCAGGCAATTCCGGCGGGAAGGCAGGTAATTGGGAAAAGTCAGCAGAGGAGATATTAATTTAGAATGAGAAGTGATTTCTAGGTAGATGACGTCAACAGAACAGTGCACCGGTTGTCTTGATGTCAGGGTGCCAGCACACCATGTTTACCCATGCCACCCGCAGACTTCCATGCTGTGCTCATTCATCAGCCTTGAGACAGCAAATTCTGATGGAGCACTGAAGATGACAGGCCCGTCTTTGTGCGGGGAACAGGACAGGCTCTGTGGGTGACTCAGAGATAGACACGCTGCCTTTGTGGCTCTGAGATCAAGTAACAGAGATGGGATCAGGTCAAAGGGCAAGGGTGAAGGTTGGTGGGGGGTTGTTCTTGAATTAAGGGCACTATTGTTTGAAAGACCAACCTGGAGACTTCACCCCAAGACGAGGTCTTAAGCCACATGGACTCCAAACTATGTCACCCCTCACCCACTGTGCAGGACCACCTACCCCACAACAGCAGCATATAAGTAGGGGCATCTGTCGACCACCTTCAGGCTAAGAGTGAGCACTCCATCTCCTCGAGATAAGACTTCTGCAGTATGTGTCGTTGTCGTTGAAATGTGAAGAGGGGTTTTACAGCAGAAGGCTGGCAGAAGGTTAGTGACACCACGGAGCCGAAACACACATTTCCTTATGATTCTTTTTAATTTGAGTAATCCAGACTGAAGAGAGTTCAGAAGGCAGTTTGATCCATCGGTACTCCTGAGGACGGCCAAGAGAAAGCTCGGTTGTCAGTGCAGCCCTACTTCAGAAGCTGTATCAGAGGAGAGCTTTGTGTCACACTGACAAACATCCACACTGACCTCTCTTACCCCATCATGGTGACAAGCCCATCGAGTTTCCTACAAATGCCCAAATTAAGTAGAGTCCTCTGCTCTCTGTCACATGTGATAGAGCAAATTGTGGTTGTGAATATCTCAGTGTGCTCAAGGTTTTCTCATCATTGATCTGTACGTTGGTTTGAGTTTATTCCTGTTCATCTGTGAGCTGTGTTGAGTTTATAGCTATTAGTCTGTATGCTGTTGATCTCGGTCTTGTTGGTCTGTGAGCTGTGTTCGGTTTATTGTTGTTAGTCTGTATGCTGTTGATCTCAGTCCTGTTGGTCTGTGAGCTATGTTCAGTTTATTGTTGTTAGTCTGTATGCTGTTGATCTCAGTCCTGTTAGTCTATGAGCCATGTTGACTATATACAGATCAACTGCAATATACTCTTGTAGCTCATTTATCTTGGTCTATGAGTCATATTAAGTTTATTCCCATTGGTCTATGAGTCATATTGAGTTTATTCCTATTGGCCTATGAGTTGTGTTGAATTTATTCCCATTGGTCCCTGAGCTCTCTCCACGCAGGACATCGGTTCCATTCAAACCTCCATGGCAACCATCAGGCCTTAGGATATTCCTTGCATTTTCCCAGCTGCTAAAGGTCCCAGAATATTATTATCATTCACAATTTAATTTACAGAAGATATACGCCCAGCACAAAATGCCATCTGCCTCTAGGATATGAACTGATTGATGCTCTATGAATGTAACGAAAGGTGGATGATGCATCAAGATGTATCGCCAGGGCGATCTACATCTCCAGCCCGTTCTTTCTTTTCTCACTCTCCCTTTCTTTATCGCCCCGCCGACGGAAACGTGGGGATGGCCTTATTACTCACAGTGCGATTTCCTTATCCCGCTCTCCATAGGCCAAGCAAATTGCATCTCCACAAAAGAAGGGGTGGAGAGCCAGTTAATCCGGGTCTGATATTATCCACGGTGAAATAGTTTTTATTTATTGATAGGCTCCTGCAAAGGCTGCCCCCCCCCCCACCCAATTTCCTGATGTTGTTGATATGCGAGCAGGCAGTTCGTCCCGAATCTGTCAGAACGGCAGCATCTCCACACTGTGGATTATTTGTGTTGCCATCCCCTGGTATGTTTTGCTGGCCCAGCACCGAATTTTGCATTTTTGGCTTCATTTGTGTCTTTTTAACAGAGAGGGAGGTGAATTTCACCCCGGAGATTAGGAGAGCGATTATCCTTGTGGATGTTTGAATGTTTCCCGGTATGAGGACCTTGAGCAGAGTAATGGAATGTGGGGTTTATGCCTGCTGGTCGCCCCAGGTTGTGTCTCGTTGCCCAAGAAACACGCCATTCCTAATTTCTGTTGCCAGGCAGACGTGAGAAGGCGTTCCCAGCATTCCCACACGACTTGTTGTTTTGGTTTTCATTTTTATCAAGGAATTAATGATCTGTATGGTTTGAGAACATGGAGGGAGGCCACTGGCGATTCCTGGCTCCTAATGAGGAACTGGTGGGCCTCGGGGGTGGAGACACAGGCTAGGGAGGTCACCTCTGCCTCCTGCTGGGGGTAGTTACATCAAGTCTGCCTTTCATTAGTGTTGGCTACTGTAACCCTTGTTGTTGCTGATGTTAGGTACACGGTGTAGCCATTAACGAGCAGGATTTTAGCAGAGCTAAAGAGGTATATTCCGTTGAGTGGCCATTTTAAATACAGAGTCTTGCTAGGTGAATACATGAAAGGGTTAAACAGCCAACTTTCTCCCGCCCACGTATATAGGCTTAGATGTGACCCCCGGATGTCCAAAGCATTTGTCTCACTCAGGAAAATCCGCAGGTATTCTGCTACTGGTGCAGGTTCACGCTAAGATGGCTGTCACGCATGGTTACCTGGGTCCTTAACAGAAACAAGGTCAGTGTGGCAGGACCAGGATGGTCTTTTCTCTACTCCTGCTAGGAAGCACATGCACCAGCCATGTGGAGACCCACCTCTCATGTCCCCTGTGGCATGTGGCCAGGACTGACTTTCAGAGGGTGTCCCAGGCAGTTCCTCACTTTGCCACTCCAAACCTGGCTCTCGTGGCGTTAATACCCATCTCTCTTGGTGCTGTGGTTCAGAGACCCCACCACTCAGGTGAGCAATCAGCTCTTTGTCCATGAGGAGGAACTCCCTCGGAACCCCACTCCATTGCCCACTTGATGCCCCAGGGCTCTACGGGAACATCATAAGAGCTTCCAAAGTCAGGCTTGTCGCTCCTTGGATATCAAACATCCAAGCGTTGACCTGAATATTCTTCTGATGTTGATACATCGCTGTATGCTCACTCTGATCCCTGACTGCTGCTTGCGCTGAAAATTTCTCCATTTTATCTGTTCCGCAGTGACCAGATGAGGTTCTTGATGTCAGTTCTAAAGTAAAAGAGCCTTGACTCCCTGTATTCCTCGAAGATCTCAGATCGGTCGGTGCTTCTGAAGAGAATCAGCGTTTAGCTCACTAAAGTTCATCGAGTGCTTTCCGTCAGTTTGGCACTCGGCAGCCTTCTGTCCGGTGGAGTGCGCACTCCAAAGCTTCAGGGACAGCAATAAGCACACTCAGGTTGGGCTTCACATTCTCCTGCTCCCTGCTGTCACTCCTCACAAGACATCGGCCATCCTTTTGGAAGCCACGGTCTCCATGACGAAACGTAGCCTTCATATGCTGTCGGTAATCTGGGTTGAGGCCTGGTGCGCTCAAGAAGTGGGCCAGACCATGAGTAGGGTGAGGGGGGGACTGGGTGGTACCACGGCTTTGTGTGCCGGGGGGGGTACCATATAGGTGTGAAACTAACTCCCAGGCTGAGAGGCAGCAAATGTGCGAAAGACAATTAACGGCTGATGGCGGGAAGAGTGGCTTGGGATTGGGGAGGGCTTGGTAAACAAGCTGTCCCTCACTGGTGTGGCGTGAGACAGACCCATGGGAGATGCAGTGTTTGTTATGGTGGAGAGGGGTGGGGCAGCCGAACAGGGAGGTACCTCCTCACCTGAATGGGACTGTTCCTACCAGAAAGCCCCATCCCCGGTTCTGTAGCTGTCATTTATAGTCTCCCAGTGCATGTCCAGCCGACCAATGCCAGTAGACCAGAGCCACTGTCACTGGAAATAAGGAGAGGCCTAAATATTCCCCCACACACAGAGAAACTTCAGCATAGACGCTGTCGCCTTCTCGGGACTCATTGGGAGGCGTGGAGGGTGGGTGAGCGGCTCGGGGCCCGTGGGCAGCCAAGGGCACGATTTTCAGATTGTTGTAGAGCTCATCATGAATGGAGACTTAGAGGACTTCACTCACTGGAATATGCAACAGCTTGTTTAACGGTAACAGAACAAACGCCCAAATGGACAAACCCTGCTGCACTGAACCCCTCCCCTGGCTCTACGTAACAGCAGGACCACATCAGTTAAGTAAATATCACCGGCATTATTTTAAGCCCATATCTCCGGGAAACAGTGGAGGACTACATCAGCCGGGCGAAGTCACTCATAAATATCCCTGATTGGGCAGTGGAGCCTCAGTCTGTACTGTCATTAGCCTATTGAAAACTTACTAATACTTCACCCAGAGAAAGGCACCCCAAACACCCGCCCCCCCAAGCTACTCGTGCTGGGGGCTCGTTTCTACCCGGGGCAGGATATCAGTGAACGGGTTCCCATGATAGGAATGGCAGGTGATGGGGCGAGAAGGACTGTGACCCGAGTGAACAGGGGAAGGACACAGACGGACGGGCAAGGCATGGGGGGGGGGTTGGGAGGCTATTTTCGGTCCCTGTAGCAAGGGGTGGAAGTTAGGAGGCATGGCGGGACACTTGATGGATTCCGTTACACAGGGACGAGTGCCTGTTTGCCCCCCACCAACACCCCCTACCTCGGCACAATAATGCTGGTCACATGATCCGTGGCAGATGACTCTGTCACTGCAGCGAGGCAGGAGGCGAGGGGTAAATAGTCAGTCACCTCACCCCCCCCCCACAGAGCTGAGCAATTTATTTTTGACATTGTGCTCACCAGCCAATGGCGGGAGCTCGGAAACATAACGTCATACGTACGCAGATGCGTGGTGAACGTCGTGACCGCCACAACTCCACGAGGACTCTGACCGGGTAAATAGTAGCCCTCTGGGGACATCAGGGCTGTGGACGGCATTCCCTGCGTTCCGCCCCCGGGGTAAAATGGTCTCACTTGGCTTGTTAAAGGCTCTGTCTAAGGCATCCTGCACAGCCTGGTGGCAGATGATTTTCCCCTGATAGTACTATCCTACCATCAGCTGGGTGTGGTCCCCAGGGCTGGAGACCTGGATCCGAAGCCTGGAGGCCAGACCCACCTGCTCCGTGACTCCGCCCAGGCCCGTCCTTGCAAGGTTGATGTCCGTTTCACGCCGAGTGAGCAAGCCTTATTAGCCAGTCGGGCCAGTTCTGCCATCACTTTGGTCCCCATTGTCTTGCCCCACTGGGCCAGTAGCCTGTTATCTTCTTTATTTGTTTACTGCGGAAGGTTTTAGGGCCTGACTTTCAGTCGCTGAAGTGACAAGAATAATTTGGGCCTTGAATAGGAGGCTAGCTGGTGTTTTTTCTGCGTCGCTGGGTCGTTATGATGCCAGCCAGCACTGCTCCTTCTGCTGTGAGAGTCCGTTTCCGCTCGGAGGTGCGAAGCCTTCGCTGTGATAACTGATTTATATGCATCACAGCTAAATTAGATTGGACTCGTTTGGGGCGGCAGCGGCAGGGGTGGGGGCAGGGGGGGTGGATCCCCAGAAGGGTCAGGGCCTCAGGACAGGGGCTTTTTCGGGACGGAACGACGTTTGGGACCGGAACAGTTCTGTGCTTGTTACCATGGGTACCGTAAAGAGGGGGAAAGTTAGGACTATTCCAAAGGGCCCTAAAATATTTAGGACATTGGGCTGTGTTGGAGGCCCAATATGATATGTTTTCTTGGGTTCCAAAATGTCTAGCACCACCCCTGCCTGTTACCCTGATTTTGGGTTCTGGTGTCGGTTCTGTAGTCCCCCTCTCTGCACCTGTCCAAGGGAGACTGGTGCACTTTAAATTCTGCTGCAGGGTCAGAGGGCTCCCGGACTGGGCGGTAATGGGTCCGCAGTTCTGTGCAGCTGCTGCAAGCATCTTCAAAGGCTTTCCTGCTGACCCCTTCCATCTCCTCAGGTACGACTTCATTGAGATACGTGATGGGAATTCGGAGTCCGCTGACCTGCTGGGCAAGCACTGTAGCAACATCGCCCCGCCCCCCATCGTCTCCTCTGGGCCTGTGCTGCACATCAAGTTTGTCTCCGACTACGCCCACCAGGGGGCGGGCTTCTCGCTGCGCTACGAGATCCTGCGCACAGGTCAGTGCCCCCGCCTCCACCGGTCGCATTGTGGTCGTCAGGATTCTGACCGTTGTGTTACCTCCTGCGGTGATGTCCTGTACTTCACTGACCCCTTTATGCAAAGCAGCTTGTGATTTTACAGCTACACTTCAGCCCAAGCACCTTGCTTAAGTCATCAAGGTGCAGAACCATTCCTGAGCTGTAGATAAGTGGTTCTTAGGTAACAGGTCCTTGTTCTCGAAGAGCTTGTTGCAGTCTTAGTAAGGACGGGCTCTGCATTACTTCAGGGATTCGAATTGCTTCAGTAAATATCCAGCTATATAATTAAGGGGGAAGCATTCAATTGTGAAGAGGGGAAGTTGTTACCAGTACCCAGGATACTGATATCTGTTAAGCAAAAGAGTAATAATAAAAGCGGCAGTGATCAGCACTGGAAGCTTGACCAAAACAGGAAGCAGCTTCAATGTGTTTCTTCCTGTCGTCTAGGCGTTACCGTGTGGGGTCTGTCCTCGTACCAGCAGCATGGCCCGGGGGAGGGGGACGGTATATTGAAAGCCAGAGGAATACAATGATGCCATGTTCTCTGTTAGGGCCCTAGGCGTCCTGTTGTTATGGGGGGGGGGGTAACATTCACAGGTGTCGCTGTTCAGAGACCATTCCTGAAATGCCCGCCTAATTGAGTTTTGATCTCTTCTCCATGGGGGGTGGGGTGGGGGGTCGGCGGTTGATGTTACAAACACAACACTCGTGCTGGTCCACGTTCTGCACTGAGTCGGCACCGGGGCGCCCTCTTGCTGTCTGCCGGGGGCAGGGGTTACAGCCACCAGCATCGTTCGAATACTCTGTGGTTTGGGGGCATGGGCTGAGGGGAAGCGAGGCTTTAAACAGCTCACAGCTGAAAACGGATACCATTTCCGGACCACCCTCCACCCCCAAGGACTAGTGGCAGGTGTGAGCGGCATGTTCCATCTCTGTAGGCGGAGGCTGTCACCCAGAGTGAGACGTAAATTGTCATTCAGAGCGGAATGTGAGTGTTGTCCCTGAGCTGCCGGTGTGAGTGGGAGGTAACGTGTGCATGGGGACAGGTTCTTCAGGCTTGATAGGAAGATAAATGCCTTTTTAAGAACTTCATCTCCTTTTTAAAAGAAGTACAAGAAGAAATTGAAGTGTTTTTTTTTATCAGATTTGGGGTTAGAGGTAATGACAGTAAAATGGGAATGTCAGAAACCCCCTGCTGGCATGGGTCTATGGATGGTGCATTTGCCTGTGACCATATTTGCTGTGAGTGTGTTTGCTCTTAGTGCATTTGCCTGTGAGTGGGTTTTGCCTGTGAGTGGATTTGCTATGAATGTGTTTGCCTGTGAGTGTATTTGCTGTGAGTGCATTTGCCTGTGAGCATGTTTGCTGTGAGTGCATTTGCCTGTGAGTGCATTTGCCTGTGAGTGGGTCTTATGAGTGCATTTGCCTGTGAAGGCATTTATGTGTGAGTGCACTTAAAAGCATGTTTGTGTGTTAGTGCTTTTGTCTGTGAGCATGTTTGCCTGTGAGTGCGTTTGCTGTGAGTGTGTTCTTGTGACCACATTTGCTGTGAGTGCATTTCCTTGTGAGCATGTTTGCTATGAGTGCATTTGCCTGTGAGTTCATTTGCCTGTGAGTGTGTTTGCCTGTGAGTAGGTTTTGCCTGTGAGTGCATTTGCAATGAATGTGTTTGCCTGTGAGTGTCTTTGTTGTAAATGCGTTTGCCTGTGAGCAGATTTGCCTGTGATGGCATTTGTGTGTGAGTGCATGTTAGCGCTTTTGTCTGTGAGCGTGTTTTCCTGTGAGTACCTGTGTGTGTGTGTGTGTGTGAGTGTGACAGAGACAGATGAGGTGTTGCAACGCAGCATGCACTTACGCTACTCCAGCCACCACATTAGCTTAACATCCCAGGCCTCTGCCATGTCATCCAAAAATGCTGTGTACTCATTAAATAGGGAAAGGAAAGAAAAAGCAGAAAAGACAAGTAAGGAGCCCCCGTATGGCAGTGCTTTGTGTGTGTGAGTGTGTCTGTGTCTGTCTGTCCATGCGTGTGTGTGTGTCTGTGTCTGTCTGTCCATGCGTGTGTGTGTGTGTCTGTGTCTGTCTGTCCGTGTCTGTGTCTGTGTCTGTCTGTCTGTCCATGCGTGTGTGTGTGTCTGTGTCTGTCTGTCCATGCGTGTGTGTGTCTGTGTCTGTCTGTCTGTCCATGCGTGTGTGTGTATTTGCATGTGTGTGTATGTTTGCGTGTGTGTGTGTGTGTGTGTGGAGTGGGGGGACTCCCTCTAAGCGATACACAGAAATATGTAACATAGAGGAACACCCCCCCCCTCCACACACACACAGCTGGGAGGCTCAGTCTAACAGGAAATCAAGCCTTTCTCCCGCAGCAATGTACCTCTGGGTGTCTCTGGGATTTGGCCGGGTTGCCCTCAGCCAGAACACTTTGTCCTGTAAGTTATTGAATGGATGATTTTTCACTATGTTCCAAAGACCTGCCATGTAGAACAGGACTCCGCCAGAAGCCTAAAAATATGTCGGGCTCTCCTCAGGGAGGGGCCTTTTTGTGAATTGGGAGGAGAATGATTAAGAGGGACCCGAAAAATAAAACAAAAACCACACGGTTTTACCGGCACATATGGACTTTAATAGATCAGCACCATTTAACTTTTAGCTGGCTGTGACTTGGATGCAGTCGCTGCATTTACAGCTTTTCACTGGTAGCAACATGGAGAGCCAGCTGGGGGGGGGGGTGTTTCTGAAGCTCTGATGTACCACCATCATTGTTGTCGCCCCTATGCAGATACCTCTCCTTTCCTCCTTTCCTTTCTGCCTATTCCACCTCCCATACCACCCTCATTTGGAGCCCCTCTTCACCCCCCCCAGGTCCTCCTGGGTTGGGAGCGAGCATGGCTGTCTGTGATTGACAGCCGGCCAGCACCAGGTGTCTCCCGCGGACGTGCCGCACAGTGTTGATGTGCCGCCGGTCTTAGCATTAAGCCAGTTAGCATATTCCTGTGAAAAACATAGCTGTCGCATCGGCAAGCCCGTAGCTGGGCAGCTGTTGGTGTATGCTGGCCAATGGCAGGCTGCTTGATCGTGAAGCCACCCTGAAAGTCACTGCAACACCCATTAACCCGGCCGGCCAGCTATCCCTGAAAGAAAGCATCTCGCCAGTCCCAGCTTGCTGCGATCGCAGATTGGGGGGCGGGGCCATCGAATGGAATGAACCAATTGGAAGGGGTGGGACTTTCGTCACGCATAGACACGTACGCGCACATACAGATCCGCCACCCGTAAGTGATTTCGTGTTCACACCACCTGCAGGTGCACGCCCACTGCGCCGACACTGCAAAGGCTCACTGGATTTACCTGTGCATCCTCTGATTGGCCCCCAGGAGGCACTAGTGCCATGGCCTCAGTGACAGGAGCTCAGGGTGTGTGCACCACAACAAAGACGCTCGTGCATCATTGTTTGTAATGGCATGTTTGTGAAGAGGAGCCGCCATCTCTCTGTCCCCTGGGGAGCATGTCCCATGTGCCCTGTCACTGTCACCTTACTCCTGTCACCTGTCCTCAAGCCAAGAGGAACAGTGGTGCAAAGAGGGCTTCATTTGGGATGGAGGCTTCTCAGTCGGGCCCCCCTTAACCTCTGTAGAGCCCCACAGGTCCCGGGCACCATCTCCACTGACCAATAGGGCAGGAGGAGTAGCAAAGCGGAGGTGCTGAGCGTGTGCTTGTCCTCCGGAGCAGGTGGCGTCCTGCCCTTCCATGGCCGACCTCGCCTGGCCTCAGCCAAGGTCGCAGCAGATGAGGCTGTGTGTATAAATAGGCCCGGAATTGCAGTCACCCGGCTGCCGGGCCGCCCGCCGCCACCTGATTGGCCGTATGTCCCGGCCGGCTGCCCTGCGCCGGCCCCCAGTCCCACGGCACCTATTTCGGAGGATGTCAGCAACCCCGCTGCCCCTATCCCGGGAATGTGAAAATGAAGCCGTCCATTACCTGTCAGATGCCACCCATGCATGTGCGCTTGTGCACGTGTCCCCCCTGCACGTGTGTCAGCCATCAGCCGCAGAGTCTCGTGTGCTGCAGCGTGGAGTCCTGAGGAGAGCTGGAGAGTCAGGGAGCTTGTGTCACTCCCCTGTCCTGCGTCTGCATCTGCACTCCATTTGTTTAGTGGAATACCGTTACGTCCGCAGTTTGTCCTTCCTGCCGTGTTGTGACTCGCGTTTCTAGGTGATATATGACTCCTCTCCTATAGGTGGAAGTTTGACCGGGTGGCATCCCCAGCCTCGGTAACTGGAATGCCTGAGAAAATAACCGTGCATTATTTTTGGCCACTGATAGGAATCACACCTAGCTGTGGTAGATGCTTTTCCATTAGGGAATCATAAACACAAGCCCAGAGTGCTGTGTGCAACTTTATACACTCTCTGTTTGGGTTGGAATAGCAGTCTAAGTGAGGCCTGAACTCCTTCCTGAGAATGCTAAATAACTTTTTAAAGTTTATTTATGAATATCAGCCTGCTCGAGTTTGATTTTCATCTGTCTGTCTGTTCTTGTGCTTGTCTTTTTTTGTTTTTGTGCTTGTTAGTCGGTATTTTTGTTTTGTTTACTTGTTAGCTTTTTCATGTGGTGGTTTCTTTTTCTATTTTTGTCTGTCTTTAGTCTGTTTTTGTATGTGCTTGTTTGTCTTTACTTGTTAGTCTGTTTATGTATATACTTGTTTGTCTGCTTCTGTGCTCGTTTGCTTTTCCACTCTGCATTTTCCCTACGAATTTACTCCGTGACCCAGTTTTACCTCAGTTTAGCTCCTAAGATGTTGACAGCCAAACAGACGGGGTGTAAAATCCGAGCCGAGGCGTGTCGGGCAGACCTCATTGAGGGGCATCGGGTCGCAAGGCACGCTTTCGCTGACTCTGCATGTTGGCGTTCCTCTAGCGATTTCGTTCGGGTCTGTTAGCGCCGATGCTTGTGCCGCGAGGTAAAAGCAGGCCTTCCGTTCCATTTGCCGCGGTACCCTTCAGGATGACACTTAACCCAGACTTGTACAAATGGGTAAAAATTTGCAAGCTGCTTTTAGGTGCCAGTCAGGCTGCCACAACTTAAACTCGTCAAATCATAACCTTTAGTAAGACGGGAAACAGGACCCTGTCGTCACCTATACTCACATCCTGTATGTACATTAATGAGGTTCTGCAGTGCCCTGTAACCTTTGTTACAGGAACCAGGAAGAGGGTGGGGGCGAAGGGGGGTGGGGGTCTGCCGGTGAATCCCAGCTGAACAAAACAGCCAAATGCCCCTTCCAGTTTGCTCTTAGAGCAGAACAGGAGGGTTTTTCTTGCCTCTGAAGGGCGAACTTGTTTTAATGCACACGGTATCTCAGAATGCATATCGGCCTCTTATGTTTTCCCTGCCCTCTGCCTGTCCTCCTGCTGTTCGTTATCTTTCCTGGATCACAGCTGTTTTTCAAATGGCCACCACATCCTACCCACCCCACCAATGCCACGTGTGTCATGAATCATTCCAGGTTCGGACTTCTGCTCTCGGAACTTCACCAGCCAGTCCGGCGTGATTGAATCGCCAGGGTTCCCCGACAAGTACCCCCACAACCTGGAGTGCAACTTCATCATCGTTGCCCCACCGCGCATGGATATAATCCTCACCTTCCTGACCTTTGACCTGGAAAACGATCCCCTGATAATCGGCGAGTCGGACTGCAAGTACGACTGGCTGGAGTTGTGGGACGGCCTGCCGCAGGGTGAGTCCCGACATGACGGGTCGTCAGCGTTACAGCAGGTTGTGGATCGAGGGGGGGGGGCGTTGCTGGTTCGAGATCGGGGAGGTCAATGAACAGATGGGGGGCGGGGCCACGTGCCACCATGTGTAAGCAACTAAATGCTACGACACATGGGGCATTATGCCCCCCCAGCAGTGGCAGCAGCGGCTTATATGCGCCCTGGCATGTGACACGTTGCCGGCTGTGGCCAAGAACAGAGTCCAGAGTCCCGGGTTTACACCAGGCCGGCCAGAAAGCCATTATGTCCGTTATTTAAGGTATTTGTGGGTGGGGATTGCAGCTGTGCTAATGTTTAATCGGACACAGATACCAGGATATTTTATTTTTATCAGGCTGAGAGTGCAGGATGTAACACCCTCCCAAAATGAGAGAACTTGGCAAGCCAGGGAGAGCTGGGACAGCAGAGCCAAACTAGCGGGGGGGGGGGACTTTCCTGTTTCCTGGTGTGTCACCATGCCCCCCCCCCACCTGTCTCTCTACCTCGTCTTCCTCAGAGGAAGGGCCACTCCCTCAGGGTAAACTCAAAAAAGGGAAGACAGACTGGAGGAACGTGTTGGTTGATGGGGGGGGGGGGGGGGGGGGGGGGGGGGGAGCCCTCAATTAGGTACCATGGTTCCATCTTGTTGATGGGTCAGATTGTTTTTTTCTGACCATTTGTTCAAGAGGCCCTTTGAAGTGCCCACTCTCCCTAAAAGAAAAATCAATGCCCTGAATCGATCAACGTTTGTTTCGACCCTCCCTTAACGGCGTCCATCCCTCAGAATCTCGGCGGGGCTGTGGGCCACAGGGGCATTTAATACAGAGTGGGGAGGGGCACCTCACCCCTCCCGGTCACTATGTTCTTCACTTGGCCTACATGGAGGAAAAAAACGTGTCTCAGTAAACCAGATAGAAAGCAGAAGCATCCACAAGATGGCGTCTGGGAGCTGGGGGGGGGCTGGGGGGAGAGGCAGATGGGTCTCCTGTGTGAGAGAGAAGGCCCCCCCCTTGTTCAGTACAGGGAGCCATTTGATTGCTTTGAAATGTCCGGGGTGCAGCCCGTTCAGCGTCTTGATGGCTCTGTGTTGGCAGTGGGGCCAATGATCGGACGTTACTGTGGCACCAAGCCCCCGCCTGAGATCCACTCCTCCACGGGCCTGCTGTCGCTCACCTTCCACACGGACATGGCGGTGGCCAAGGATGGCTTCTCGGCTCGATACAACATGACGCAAAAGCAAGTCAGCAACAGTGAGTACCTCCTCCCTCCCTGTTACTCGCCATCCATCCATCCTGGGGTGCTCGGTCACATTGAACCCCCCCCCTCCCCTCGCCCCAGGCTTCCACTGCAGCACACCTTTCGGCATGGAGTCCAAGAAGATCTCGGACGAGCAGATCACCGCCTCTTCCTCCTACACGGATGGCCGCTGGTCACCCCGCCAGGCGCGTCTCAACAATGATGACAACGCCTGGACGCCCAGCGATGACAGCAACAAAGAGTACATCCAGGTGGGCCCCCAAATGCCTGCCTGCCCCCCCCCACCGACACACACACACGGCCAGGGGAGAGAAACACGAGAACTTCAAGCCACTACTCAACAGGCAGGAGCAGGACACTTAGGACAATGAAACAGTTAATGTAAGGAGGCAGGTGTCGGGGGGGGGGCATCTAATGATAGAACAGCGAGCGATGACTGATACGGGTCCAGCGGCAGAGAGGTGTTAAAAGCAGCTCCAGCTGGTGTGCCGTTTATTCTCACACCGTCGGGGGTGGGGGGTGGGGGGTGGGGGTCTGTCTGGCTCTTGGTTAGCCGAGAGGGACGCTTTGAAAGTCCAGAGCAGCCGTCCAGCACACATCGAGCTTGTGTTCTAGAACTTTCTTCGGTTTCGCTCGGCTAGATGATGGCAGCCGTCGCGCTGCCTTTCCCGCGCTCTGCTGGTAACTGCCCCCTGACTGATGAGGGTCCTTTCCACGGAATAAACACTTAGCGGGAATCCTCGGGGCTATCGATTTTTGTGTCCGAGTGCGTTTGTCTTCCCTCGGCCGTGGCTCAGATTGAGGGGGGTAGGTGGGGGGCGGTGGTCGAACGCCACACCTGTCCCTCTGACGGATAACGAGGCGTCCGCACGGCTCTGAACACGCTCGGGCAAACCGGGAGTGAGAGAGCCTCGCTGGAAGCACGCCGGGCGCGACACCGGACGCGCAACTCGCTCTGAGTGAAAAATCACACCTATCGTGCAGAATCTGCCGGTAATTATCACCGCAGCCGCCACAGAGATAACAGCGGCCTCCAGCCTCGTCCCCATCGATCGGCCAGCCCAGGGGAGCGTCCCAAGGCTCCTTCCCAGCACCGGGCTCCCTCCTTCCATGGAGCCGGCTAAATTAACCATGGCTTTCCCTCCTTCTTCCTCTCCCCTCATCATCCTCACCGGCCTGCCCAGGTGGACCTGAACTTTCTGAAAGTGCTGACCGGCATTGCCAGCCAGGGCGCCATCTCCAAGCAGACACAGACCTCCTACTTTGTTACCACCTTCAAGCTGGAGGTCAGCACCAACGGCGAGGACTGGATGATGTATCGCCACGGGAAAAACCACAAGGTGGGCCCCTGGGTGCAGGGATGGGGGGGGGTGGGGGTTAACGGCCCTGCTGCATATACAATCCCACTATTTATCATTCGCGCAAAGCTGTCAGGGTGCTCAAGCTTAAGGGCATTTTGTGGTGGGTAACCAAACTGAGTGGGGGGGGGCTATGTGTGTGTGGGGAGGGGGGTGTGGGTCTGGAAATGCTGATGATGCAGTTTCCATCAAACTTTTACTCGTTGACTATATCAGGCTTCGTGCTCGGAAGGGCAGGGCCAGGTGGATCATCGCGTGATCCGGTGCCATGTCCTGCCGTTGCTGCATCCAACTGTCCCGGGAGGAGGAGTACCACAGGAGCAGTGGGGGGGTTGGAGGGAACATTGAGCAGAGACAAAGCCTTTGGGGGTCAGCGGCAACCTTGGGGTGGGATGACTACATTTCCCATGAGCATCCTCTTCAATGGCAGCATCAGGGTCAAAGAGGCAGGGCTGCTGACAGAGCAGGGGAGAGAATAGCCGCTAGCAGACCGGGGGAGGGACAGGAAAGGGAGAAATAAATTAGAGATGCTGAATCAACAGCACGCTGAGGGAAGAGTGGCCTTCAAAGCAACCTGCCGGTGTCACAGGCCCCTAATCTGTTTTCTTTATTACCGAGAAGAGCTGGAAATCCTGTTTAGAGCACATCCGCTGTGCAGGATGCCAGCAGCTGGAGGGCAGGCCGGCGGAGTGACGGCAGCCCCACGGCAGGCCGGCAGCTGGAGGGCAGGCCGGCGGAGTGACGGCGGCCCCACTGCGGCACAGGCTGTCTCAGGGGGAATGTCAGCATCCCTGTATTTGAGACGTGACGGTGCCTCTGTTTGGATTTATTAAGGAATGCTCAGCTGGCCTTGCCAGGGGGTCTTTTGTGAATCGTGAGCGATGGCTCTGAGCCCCCCTTGCACGTGCGTGTGTGTGTCGCACCATGCTCATGCTTTCTGTGCGACTCTGCCCTCAGCGGCACCATTTCCCGTTTCACTTGGACCGGAGTCCAAGCCGGACACTCCCCCCCTCCTACTGCTCCTGAAAAGTGCCCCGCCGAGAGACGTCCTGCATTTCAGATGGACATCGCCGTCTTCCAAGGCGAGAGGCTCCCTTTTTGTCTCCTCCCACACCACCCAGGGGGTGGTCAAAATTAATGCGATTCACGGCCATATATGATTCACGGGCTCAGCGGTAGATCTCCTCTGTAAACCTCATTCAGCTCTGCTGCCACATCGTCCATGTCATGGCAGGTAAGATGTGGCAGGGTGACCTGTTTTTTGTTGTGACCTGGTTAAGAATCTCTAACTGGCGCCCCCTGCAGTCCAATCCCAGGTCCAAGGTGGAGGGAGTTGGCCTTTGGCGGCACCGATCCATGCCTGATTGGCTCTGGTGACGGTTCACCCGGCTGGGATGTCATGGATTTGACAGTGCCCATCGCTTGTCCGACCTTTCCTGCCATACAGAGAGGGGAATCGGACCAATCCGTCAGGCTCTGCTGTGCAAAGCACCCTGATCCAGAATCATCATAGACTCCTGAGTCGCTGTGATGTCATAATAAGGCGCTGTGTTTATTCCAGCCTGGACGTCCCTGTGATGTTGCAGTACATCTCTCATCTTATTTGCCAGCTTCTGACAGCAGTCCCCCGTGTCACATTTTTTTCCACCATGACGGGTCTTGAGTTTACATATGTCCATTTCGATTGATGCGGCAATTTCCTCAACGTCACTTTTTCCTGCCATATGTAATAAAAAAAAAAAAAACGCTACCAGCAGTGACTTATTACAGTTTCTGTCGAGCATTATATAGTCATATTCATCAGTTTCTGAAATGCACGCTGTGTGTTGGTGAAATCCGCATCGCGTGCATGTACGTGTAGAGTGTACGACGAACATGCTGCTTAACACGTATTCGGTACTCCAGTCGAGGGAATTAAATCTTTTGTATTGCTAAACTCCGTTTACATGCTCTCTGGATCCCCGTTGGCTCTTCCTATAAACGTGGGCACAGTCTCCTGAGGCCCCGCCCCCTCTACAGCAGCGCTGTGGGGGGGTGTGACATTCGCAGGCCTTGCATGCTGGGAAACAGAAGCGCATCTTTCAGAGCACATGTCGTTACTGCACACAGGGCAAAAAGTGGAGAAATAAATCTGGATGAGCGCCCCCTAGCTATCACCATGCTCCCTGCGGGCCCAGCTTCTGCAGGGAGGTGTCAAGCGGGACTCTTCCTGCTGACGCCATCTCCCCCGGAGTCGTTAGCTTCAGGCAGAGTGAGGCCTGATGGCTCTGTGCCAGCAAACTACCCCCCGCAACCCACACACACACACACACACACACCCTTAGAGAGATTTCAAAGACAGGGTTAGCAGCCTGGGTCTTTGCCAGACCGCGATCCTACTACTCTGACAGCAGGGGGGGGCTTCTCATTCTGCATCAATGCACACAGCCTCCCATCAGTGCTTTGCATGGGGGGGGGGTCACCGTGACTCTCTGCTCCATCCTCCCATGATGCCCAACCCACCTCCCCTCTCGCTGCGTTCCTGCGGCTGATTCCCGTGCTCCCGCTGTCCTTCCCGTGTCCCTCCACATCGCTGTTCCGCAGCCTGGCAGAAGGGTCGCTGGGGAAATCTCTCACAGGCACCCGCCAGCTCAGCAAAGCCACGCCACATACCCCTGGCCAATTAGTCCATCGGTGCCCCCTGCTGGAGGGTAGCAGAATTGTAACTAGATCTGGACCTTGACGAGAGCCGGGAAGCAGAGGGCCGTGAAATGGCTCCTGCGATCTCAGGAAACCCCAGATACAGGCTGCGGCATGTCCTGAGCAGAGAGGTTACGGGGAAGAGCGGTTAGTCAGGCCAGACTCACCCCTCACTGGGTCGGGTGTCACCCCCCAGGCTCCCTACAGGGATGACGGATCCTGAGTCTGAGTTTGGCCCGTCAGCATGAGGCTTCCGGCTGTGAGAACACCGAAAAGGCGTCCTCCCTTCCTGCTTCCTGCCCCCCCCACCAGTCCGTCTAGCTCAGTGGGGGGCGGGGGCCTGTTTCATCGTGCTTGGCATGGGGACACATGCTGATGGGTGGCTCTGGGACAGATGGTTTGGGAGTCATATGTAAACAGAGCTTGCATGCCTCACTCAGACCCCCCCTGGGTCAGTTCTAATGTCATATTCAGTCTTGGTAATGCCACTCCCCCATGCCCCCCTCCCTCACATGCTGCGCCACATCAGGGGCAAGGGCATACTGCTCCAGCTAACAGACGATCTCAGCGACTCTGTCAGAATGATAGCCCCCCTATCTCGAAACTCGAAAAGGCTGTGACTCGCCCCTGGCCTGCCCTGAATGTCCCCCCCCCCCCCAGATACCCTACCCTTAGTAACATGATGCTCCTCTGGTCCTAATTCTGCCCATTGTACTGAAAGTTTTGAAAAACACCCCCAACACCTTAGACGGCCACGAGGGCCCGAACGTGACACAGCAACATGCCCCCCCACCTCAAGTGACAGGGGAGTCACCTGTCCTCCATGTTTGTTTTTGTTGAATAGATTAATAAATGGTCATGTGCTGTGGGGGAGGGGCTACGCTGAGCCATCACGTGTTGCTCAGTGATGGGAGCAGAGAGGACCCCCTCTTCCATGACCTGAGCACAGGGCTTTAGGGTCATGGGGGCAGATCTAATCAGCACCTGTTTACACTGTTCACCCTTCAGGAAGGCCCTGGCCACACCCCTTTCCTCACCACAAGAGTCCCGCCCCTTAGCCTCCTCTCGGCTGACTGCCCCCTGCTGGTGGGAGGCCTCCTGAAATCTTTCCCTGGGTTTGCACCCTGCAATAAGCCGTGTGCATTTCCCCAGGGCGCTACGGCTAGGTTCGTCGTCACGCCATCATGCGGCCCTTCCATGTGTCTCCTTGTAGATCTTTCACGCCAACACGGACCCCACCGAGGTGGTCCTGAACCGCATCCCACAGCCCGTTCTGGCCCGATTCGTCCGCATCCGGCCACAGAGCTGGCAGAACGGGATTGCGCTACGCTTCGAGCTCTACGGCTGCCAAATCACAGGTACGTACCCCCCCCGCCGCTGTCCTTATGGGCCGCACGACGTTATGCCACTCATCGGGCCCGCTTAGGGAGGGATAATTCGCTTTGGTCTATTCTTAGCCTGTCTGTGGTTACCTGGGGGGCTGTAATTCTGTTTGTCTGCCCCCAGCAGACGGCCCAAATGGTGATCTAGAGCGCTGACGTCATCGATGGCTCCTTCACACTCCACCGATATTACGTTACGCGACCCCCTTTTGTCCGGGGAGGGGGGTCCGCCCACTGCACCCAGCATAGATGAAAGGCCTGAAATGGCCCTCATTAGCAGACAGGGGGCCCGTGGGTCACGCTCGGCGGCCCAGTCTGAGTAGAACAGTGGGGGGGGGGGGCAGGTGGCCCACAATCTGGCCTGCAGCTCTGTTTCTCTCGATACCGGCCCCGAACGCCCACCACAGACATGTGTGTGTGAAATGGCTGTTGTCAGCTCTGGGTGATTAGCGCCCCCCTGTGTCCGGTGCAGCCTCCTGCGGCCGTCAGCTGTCTCGCCTCATGGTCCCTCCCCATCAGCCTGGCAGAGTCTCAGCAGCGTGACTCGGCTCATTTGCGCTCCTTCCGAGGGTCGACTTGCTTTAACCCATTGGGGGCTTGGATGCCGGTGGGTTTCTGGCGCGTCCGGGGTTAACCGCTCCGCGCTGCCTTGCCCATGTTTCCTTATTCATCCCCAGGCGTCACCCTGAGCCCTTCATCCCAGCCACCTTAAAATGCCAGTCTCCTTTAGCCGGGACTCCACCCGCCCTGACTGATTCCCCCCTCCATGACAGACGCCCCCTGCTCGGAGATGCAGGGCATGCTCTCTGGCCTGCTCCCCGAGGCGCAGATCTCCGCCTCCTCCACGCGGGACCTCCACTGGAACCCCGGTGAGGCCCGGCTGGTGGGCAGCCGCTCCGGCTGGTTCCCGAGCTCCACCCAGCCACCGGCGGGACAGGAGTGGCTGCAGGTGGACCTGGGCTCCCCCCGCAGGGTGCATGGCATCATCACGCAGGGGGCACGCGGCGGCGACGGCGGCTCGGGGGCAGAGAACCGGGCCTTCGTGCGGAAGTACCGGGTAGCCCATAGTCTGACCGGCAGGGACTGGACCTTTGCCATGGACACCAAGACCAGCCAGCCCAAGGTGAGCATAAGGGTGAAGGTGGCCTGCAGGACCATGTGCAGCCAGCAGGGTGCGCTCTGGAGAACAGAATAGAAGATGCCCAGTCACCCTGACTAGGATTAGTGGTTAGAAGATGATGGATAGATGGATGGATGGATGGATGGATGGATGGATGGATATCAGCCATTAATTGCTTAATTGGGGGGGGGAGGCTTCCTCTTAAGGGGGTAAACCTGAAGTTTGGGTGGAGCCTGTAGTTTGATATCAAGAGTGGTGATGTTTCAGTGTTGACTGGGAGGTGGTGCTTCCGGGGGGGGGGGTTGGTTAATGTGCCATTCTGAAATAGATCTTTACACGCCGCCCCCCCCACAGATCTTCGAAGGGAACACCCACTACGACGCTCCGGAAGTGCGCCGCTTTGAGGAGATTCCTGCCCAGTTTGTCCGCATCTACCCTGAGAAGTGGTCCCCAGCGGGCATCGGGATGAGGATGGAGGTGCTCGGCTGTGAGCTGCAAGGTGAGCCCCCCCACCCCACACAGTCAGTCAGACAGACTCCCCCCAGCCCCCCACCCACACAGTCAGTCAGACAGAC